CCCCATGTGTGCCCCGGCTCCCGTATTCGACTGGGGAGTAAAGCCACCGTACACGGCTTGGCCCACCTCTGGACGTATTCTAAGCCGCAGGGGCTGCCCTTCCACCGGGGTCCCGTTCAGCGCCTGGAAAGCCGCCTTGGCATCGTCCTCCCCCGCCAACTTGATGTACCACAACCCATGCTCACACCGGACTTCCAGCACCGCCTCCGCCCACTTTTGAAAGAGCGCGCGGACGTCCGGTTCTGTCACGTCGGGAGGGAGTTCGCGCGCAATGATGGTGCTTCGCGCCACCCGGGGCCTGGCGCCTCCGCCGTCGTCTGAGAGCTGCACCAAACGCGACATTTGCACAGCCTCCACCAACACTCTCACCACATCCTGCCCGCCCTCTGCACTCAACTCCCGCCCTTCCTCCTTCCCGCCCTCACCCTTCTTCCCTCCGCTCGTCTTCTTGGCCGTGCTCCAGGCTGCTTGGATCTCAGCCAACTGAGCCAAGACGGGCAGAGGTACGGAACCCTGCGTGTTTAAAGTGCCCGACAAAACCGGGTGCACCGCAAGTTTGGAGGGAGAAAATAGATCCTCCACTACCTCCCGGAGAGCTACTGCCAATGTACTGCCGCCGCGGCCGTTGTCGGCGCTGCTGCTGCTTTTTGTGGTGCTGCTATCTGTGCTGACCGCCGGGGCGGTGGAAGAAGGGGCCATGGCCAGCGTTGCCAAGGTTGCATCCTTTTTGCTGTCTGTCATGACAGTCCCTTCACGTTCGTGGTGATGACCAAGCAGGCCCCGAATGTCGTCGTTTTCTGAGGCCTGGTGGGCGCAACGTCTGTACTCCGCTCCTGAGACTGCACACTCACGACTGGTCAGACCCGCCCTCCACTGCTGCCGCAAGATGCGCCGTCAACAACACCAGTGTGACAAGCGAATGCCTGTGCGTAAGTCGACGAGCAAAGAGACCGACGGGAACCCACAATTAGGGCGGCGGCGGCACAGCACAGGAGGGCTGGGGGAGGCAAGTAGAAGAACGAGTATTCCGGCTGCAGCGGAGAGTGTGTGGTGGAGGGGGAGGTGAGGACAAGGTTTCTCAAATCTCAAGCGCGGTTCTCTCCAAGGAGAAAACAGAGCATGAGAAATAAAAAGCAAAGGAAGCTTGTGGGCCGTGTGGGCATGTGCATGGACACGAAATGGGGACGCAGGCTCTGGTCCTTTCCGGACTATCGAGAGCCGCCGAAGCAGTCTCTCCCCCAGCGCCTTCGTCGGAGGCGAGGAGATCCGAGCTATTCACTCGAAGCCACCACCAGGGCAGCCATCGGAAAGGTAGCTGCTTCCGACCAAACAAGTGTGCGGTGCGCATTTTCCTTTGGGTGGACAATTTTTTTCTGGTATTGTGTAGGACTGTTTTTTTTCTTTCCCAGCGTTGAAGTCGCTGCGAGCTAGGATTCACAATCCGATGTCGTTTCTCTACTGAAATTCCTAATTATTTTGATAACACAATTTGATGCATAGCGTAGGTTATCCCTCTGATGGAAAACCTACACAAATATTTTTTACACCTTATCAATTTGATTGAGACCTCAATACCAGTGCATCAGATTTTATCCCTTGTTCATTCCGCAAGCCACGACATACCTTGCCGGATTTCAGTCCTAGTTTTTCAACGTGTTGCGAAGGCTGGGAACAGGATACTGCTGCTAAGCATAAATTTCATTTCGTATTATTAGAAATATATTATCATGAGGTTTATTTAAATTTAATCTTCAGTTCCTGATGTCGAATGGCCGGTGTGAAATGAAGAGAAAGAATCAGCGCTCTTCTCAAGACAGAAAAATTGAAAAGATCACGATTTTCTTACTAGTTCCACCACAAAAGAGACGCGTCTGAGAGCTGTAGCTACAAATACATGCGTCACATTTATTTCATGCATTAACCATTACCTTCATACATCAGTCCCGCCATCATCCCAGGCCTGGTCATGTGCACGATTGTGCAACGCTTTGACGTCCCCTTGCATCTATCCCAGCTGGGCGCTCCCAATTTGAACATCCTTTGGTCGCCAAATGAAATACGTCTCTTCTACCCTCCAAAGAAGCAAATGCCTCCTCCGGGTACCATACACCAGGAGCCACCTTGCCATCAAGCACTTGCGCCGCAAAAGCGGCGATGCCCTCCCCCACGCAAGTTTCCAAATCCTCGTGGGCATACAGGGCTGTTGCGGACTCCGTTCCTCCCTTACTCGTCGCTGTTACGCGCATTGCATTTGCAGTTCCTACCAGCGTGTCCACAAGGCGGACCAAGGGCTCCGACACTACAGCCAAGGCCTGCATCAACGCTCGGTCTTGCAAAATCTTGGCGGGAAGCATGGCCATGCCTTTCAGTAGGTAGTTCCAACCATTTGGCGCTGTTCCGAAGAAAGTCGACACGTTTGGCACCCCCAAGACTCGGTGGCAACTGAAAGCCTCGAGCAGATTCATGCGGAACACTTGTCGCAGCCCAATCCCTTTCCCAAAGTCGGCCTTTCGAAAGTCTGAAGCTGCGTCATAGTAGTGTGGGCGACCGTTGACGTAGGCCAGGACCTTCTCCGACAATATTAAAAACGTGGCACTCAAAATTGTCGTGCCTGCACCTCCACTTCCTGAGGTAAAAAACTCAAATTCGATCTTGTCGGTGGCCTCGATTCCGCCTACGGCTTCAGCTACATCGACTGCCATAAGAGAAGATATTCCCGGCCACACGCCGGTGGAAATGAGACAGGGCACGTTTCCTTTCCGCGCCTCCCCATCGTAGCCTTTGGCGAGCTGTGCGAGGTGTATGTCGTCACATACATCCACGTACGGTACTTTCAAAATAAGAGCCGCTTTGAGAACTTCAGGAGCCATCCGTCGCTGAAAGGGTCCAGCGGTGTGTATGATTAAGTCAGGCCGGTGCGAGGCCAAAGCTGCCAAAAGTCCTATCCGATCCTCATGGTCCATGGGGACGAACTCCACGTCGTCGAACGTGTCCGCACCGTTTTTCTTCGACTCTAAGCTCATCCATCGCTCTTTGGCTTTCTTAAACTTGGCTGCATTTCGACCACCGACGCTGATAAGGTTCTTCGTGCCTCCGGGAAGCCTACGAAGGGCCCGAACCGTCGACCCCCCAACTCTACCTGTTGCCCCGATGACCAAGACACGCTTTGGCGCATGATCCAAACCCGCAAGAGGGGGGGACGCCATCATAGTAAATGCATTTGCGACCATTGTAAAGGCCATGAAGGAGGTAATCGGCAACGAGCGCATCTGAATTTCTATTGTCTTTCCTCGGTAGAGGGAGGGGAGGTTTACCTGAACGAAATGAAGGCGGTGGCTGGAAGTAGTAGTGCTTGAAGCTTAAGGAAAGGGCGTGCTGCTGCACCACCACAAAACAAGTTCTGTAAAGTGACCCTGTGCGTGCGTGTGTTTTGAATGCTGGCTTATTTTCCGACCGCAGGTGGTTAGGACCGAGATCATGCGGATCGATGCTCACCGTCAACGTTACGGTGACGAACAACAACATCGGACAAAATGCTTCCCTCCTTTTTCACAAACACATCACAAAAATTAATCCTACTGCACAAACAGTGAGTATGCAACATTCTTGGAGAACTGCAGCATTCCATTCTGCTCGTCGTCGGAAGGTGGGAGCAAGTTCCTTTTCAACCTCCTCCACCAACCAGGAGGAAACAAGCACTTTGCTTGCGTGCGCCCTCGACAGGGTGAGACTAGAAGGCACTTCCACAGGAACCAACCTCATTGCTTATTCCGGGGGGGTCGATTCCAGCCTAGTTGCTGCATTGGTGCGGCAGGTCTTCCCAAGCAACTCGGTCGCCTGCATCGGCTTGTCAGCATCACTGCCCGACAATCAACTTATTCTGGCACGTCAAGTTGCGGCCCACATTGGAATCCCGTTGCGGGAGGTCCCAACATACGAGGGTTCTGCGCCGGAGTACGTTGCTAACCGGGGAATGAGCTGTTTTCATTGCAAAAATCATTTGTACACGGCCCTACAAGCTGTGGCTGCAGTGGCAGGGACGCACATGAACGGCCCCCTGTCAAGCAACTTTTTGCATTCCAGTCAAAAAGGGAGCACAGAAACTCTTCAACATGTCAAATTGAACGGTGCTGACGCTTCCGCACCGTCAGTGGTCGCGCTGTTCAATGGCACCAACGCGGACGACAGTCGGGACCCCACCAGGGTGGGGCTCAAGGCGGCAACGAAGTTCAAGGTGCGAAGCCCGATAGACCATTTGACCAAAGGAGAGGTTCGATTATTAGCCAAGGCGATGAATCTGCCCAATTGGCGGCATGCTGCAAGCCCCTGTTTGCGATCACGGCTCGCTTTCGGGGTTCCAGCCCTGGAAGCTCATTTACGGAGAGTCGAGACCGCGGAAAGAATAGTGAAGGCGACGCTGGGGGGAAAATTCGACGATAAAGAGGGAGAAAGCGGGTTCAACAAGCTAGGTGTTCACCACAATGTGCGGGTCAGACTCATGGCGCGAGGGAAGGCAATGATCGAGCTAGATGTGGAGCTACTTGAGATTGCTGCGTCATATTTATCCACATTTGAAGGACGATTTAAAAAGGAGCTGGGCTTTACCGAAGTCAGTTTACGAGCGTTTAAGAGCGGGAGTGTGAGTAGTATCACGAAAGTTGCCAGCGGGACGTAGGGAGGGGGAAAAGGAGCGAAGCAGCCTGGGAGGAAGGAAAGTAATGGAGTGGTCATCTACAAGTCGGAATGAAGCTGCTGGTCTCATCTTTGATCCTGTCAAGCGACAATGACAGCGGACAGGTGTATTTAACATGTAAAAAATTCATGCCAGAATTGCAAGGTCTCTGCGTTCAGTGCTCCGTCCCCCTTGAGAAGAATTGCTTCTATTAACTTTCCCGTTGTGGGTATACAAATCGTCGTCCACTTTCTCGAATCACGGAAATCACACCTGCCAAGCTATCAACCGGGGCAGGCTGATCGCGACGCTTCCTTCTTGTGTTGCCTTAGTGTCTGCTTGGCTGCCTATGTGACGTCACTGTCTTCGTTCTTCGCCCGTCTCGCAGTCGTCTGCTTGCCAAATTTGCACATACCTCAGGCTGGACCAGCCTCGTCTTCCAATCAAGTGTGGCTTTGCTAGTGGACATGATACTCACTCACAGAAATGCTTAGATTCACAGGTGATGGCGCACACGATCTCCAAAGACCATTCCCGTCTGGTGTTTTGCCTCTACCGCCTGTTGCTGCGCGATGCCCGGCGGGTCCGGCATTCACGGGCCCCCTTTGTATTTCTTCAGGAGCGTCCCAGCCGCGAACGCTATTCTCATCTATGGGAAATCACGCCGGACTATGACGCGAATGTGCTGGACAACTTGCTTCCTTCCTACCTGCGGCATGAATTGACGACGTGCGAGCTCAAAGCTCAGGTAAGGGGTGCGGCCTGCACAGGACGCATGTTGGCCGGTGCCCGGAAATATGGATGGATCCTCATTACTTGGCAGATCTGACGTGAAGGGGAACGATAGTAAGGGTACCTCGTGGGCAATGTCAAGACCTTGGCATTCAGCACCGCCTCGCGCGGATGTGCCCCGGTCTCACCGAGCTCTCTTTGACATTGTCCTTTCCCTCACGCCTCGCTATTTGGCGTCTTTTTCTTCCGTGTGCACAGGACTTGGAGCGTATCATCAAGGCCAATTTCCGTCGTTTCCGGTCGTTGGGAACCTCAGAAGAGAGTCCCAACCCCAAACACCACGTTACCCTTCCATCGGGCCCCCCCGCCACACCGACAGAATCACCACGCCACAGTTCGGGCCACAGCAGGAGGCGGAGCAGCAGGATGCGTGGCGCTAATATCATGCCCATACCGCCTCCCACGTTGGACCAGGTCCTCGACGACACGATGGCCTTAACCCGGACCATGGCCGAGCAACTCTCGCTTTTCGAAAGCACTAGCGTCACGGAATCCTACGGAATCCGCGTCATAGCCACCGCCACCACGGCCCTGGACCAACAGCAACAGCAACAGCAGCAGCAACAACAACAAATGCAACAGTCGGGGGCTGTGCAGCCTCCGCCTCCCTACTTTTTTTTTTACACCATCCGGGTCGAGAATCGAAACCGGCGGGCCTCTGTCCAATTGATGGGACGTCATTGGATCATTCAGGACGAACAGGGGCGAGAGACGGACTCGGTGCCCAAGGGCAGTATTGGTAGGTTCAGTGGGAGAGGAAGGGACAGGTCGTGGGGCGGTAAGGCGATGTTGGACTCTTGGAGTTCTTCGTTGAGGCTCTTACCCACTCAAGATGAGGTATCGCTTGCCTTAAGTTGTACAATGTGGCGTTGGAAGCAGGGCCCAGACCCTTGTGCATCGAGTTCCCCTCCCTATATACCCGTTGGAACTCTTGCCGCAAATTGATCAGAAAGCTCTCCGTCGCCAGTACCTCCGGGTATTGGAATCCTCACGTTCCCCACTCTTTCCCTCTCTGCCCGGACACAGGTGTGGTGGGCCACGAACCGATTCTAAGGCCCGGGCAAAAAGTCGCCTACATGAGCGGTGCAAAACTTCCCACGCCGTACGGGAGCATGCAAGGGTCTTTTCAAATGGTCAAGCGGGGGGGGGAAGGCAGCAGTGTGCCCGACAAGTTCGATGCTCGTGTCAGCCCTTTCCTCTTGAAACAGACCTGAGCAAGCGACAAGTGTGGACAGTTGCACATAAAATGGATGGAAATGTTTGTGATGATCCCGAGTCGAGGATCATGAGTACGAGGAAACAAGTTTATTGCTGAAATATACGAGAACGCAATATTCGATGGGTTTGTGCATGGAACAAATGGGACAAAGCTTGTTGTTTTCTTCTACATTATCGCACAGTCTGGCCCAGGTTTCTTTCCGCGCTGTACCAATATTGCATGAAGTTCTCGTTTGGAACGTTCAAATGTCTCAATAAATCGAGCGCGGTCCTCGATTCTCGTGTAGGTTATGTCGTGGATGAGCTTGTTACGGATGGTGGCAAGGAAGCGCATGCGTCGCATCAGATCGTCCGGCAATGGAGAGTCAGAATGCTGTACCCACGTTATCTTTTCGTGCAGCCCTTTCCCATCGGCCCCCCATTCTTGCTCCAAGAGGTGCTCCAAATCTTTGCTTGTCTTGATGGCCAGCTCGTAGTCGTTCTTGGCATAAGTGGGACTCGTCAAAAACTTGAAAATCGCCGCGATTGCGGCTCCCAACTTTACCATGGCAAACGCTGATGCGGGGGACTAGTTGACGATGCTCAAGGGTACCGAGGCAGGGTGGGCAAGGAAATTGGAAAGGGAGCAGTATCCAAACAGGACGGGAACGAGGCCAACGGGGGGGAGGAGGTTAATTCAACAGCTGGGGCAGAGAATGTGTCCGGCAACCCCTAGACTACCACTTTGCCAGCATTTATCGTGCCTGCGATATGTGGAGGGCATGTTAATGTCAGTTTGTAGAGATATGCCATACCCAGTGCACAAAAATCTTTGGCATGGCGTTCAAAGACGCAACTTTCGGGGAGCAAACGAGTAGTAGTGCAGTAGCGTCACGCCGTGGGGAACGGGGGAGGGGAAAAGCTAGAGTGTGACCGCTACGTATTTTGACTGGTTTTTACCTTTATTGACCTCTTTTAAACTCAAGAGAAAAGCGTATTACCGGCTGACTTGTGTGGAAAGCGAGCTAATAAAAGTCTACACTGAGCGCGCAAAGGTAGGCGCTGGGCACGTCGTGCCATGTTGAGGCACATAAAAGAACTTTTCCGTATTCCTGCCTTGCAAAATGGCGTTGCTATCAATAAAGGTACGCCAATGAATCATGAAGAAATGCTGTGTGAAAGGATACGCGTCAAATTTGAACTAACATTGACGACGTGTAACACCTTTGAATCATGCCCAGCACCACTACCAATACTATCGATCGGCAACCTCGACAACGACAGCTCCATCAGCAAGCTGAAGTGGTCCGTGTTCACAGACCGCAGTATCGGAGGGAAATCAGAAGCCTCTTTCGAAGTTTCGACGACAGGAAATCATCCTATAAACGAGACCGATGGGCACACGGGCGAGATTAGACCCCCATCTGCGACCTTTTCAGGTAACCTTTCCAATATGCGGCCCGCAGCAGATCCCACGTAAGTCATGTATAAGACTATCAGTCAAGATTTTGGAAGCTCGAAGGCACCTTTGGGTAAAACAGATCCTTGGCTACAGAACTCTTGACGTCCTATCTTACATTGACGCCAGAAATTTTATTTTGTTTCAAATTTCTCTTGGACACCGCACTTCCTCTTCCGGCGTGTGTATGCAGCGTCAAGCGTACAGGTTACTGTGCTCTGAAGGTCGAAATGCCCCGGTCTTTCCGAGTGGAGGGCTACGAAGGCCTCGAGCTTACAGTGAGGACGGACGGTCGGAGCTACATCACTAATCTTGAGGTAAGACACTCAAATAGCCAAGGAAAGATTGTATGGAGCGAGACGTATGAAAGTTGTTGCGCGGAGGTGGTTGTCTCTAGTAGCTTTCATTGCATTGATCTTCAAGTTGGAACGAGATTTAATTGCGCCGAGTCGTTACTTACCCCCCTCGCTACGATCCTGTTTTCATCATGCAGGTGGAAAGTTTTTTCCCAGATGAACTTTATCAAGGTTATATCACAGGTTTGCCTGGCGGCAAATGGTTGACGATCCAATTGCCTTTTCAGGACATGACCCTGACACGCCTAGGCCGAATGTCCTACATTCAAAAAGAGCTTGACAGCACCTTTACATTGGAATCTATAGGATTTTTGATCGCGGACGGGAAGACAGGCCCTTTTTGTCTGGAAATCGCGAATGTTGCGGCTGTGGGGAGGATTCAGGGTCGTCCGCTGAGAAAGCCATCGATGAGCGATGGGAATGGGTTGAAAAAAGAAGAACGCGCGGGCACAAACCTTGAGGAGGATAAGAAAACGGGTGCTAGGTCGGAGGAATCTCAATAAAGAAAGGTCTCCAAATGAACGGAACAGGAAATGGGAATGTTCAAACAAGAGAAATAAGAAGAAAAAAGGAGTGTGCCTGTGCTTTAAAGGGACCGACTATTTTTTTATCCGCACTAAAGTTGAGCCATCTGACAGATTCTTACTTCGTTAATATAATTCCCGTGTTTGAATGATCCATCGTGAACCTGCCAGAGTACACAAAGTCCATATCAGCACACCTTTAGGTCCGCCAGCCCCTCTTTTAAAAGCTCGATCTCGATCTTCTTCCTCGTTGCCCACAGGGGCGTACTCCACACAACGACGTTGCAGGCACCACGTTCCCACGACTGCATGCACAACATTCCAAAACATGGTACCCGCGGCTCAATTTTCTCGTTCGTCATGACCTACAGGGCGGCTTGGCTTTGCGGGACACGAGGAAAGCATTTTCTTTCAGCAGCAGCATCATCATCATCATCACCTTTTCGACGGCGTCAAACCCTCCGGGAGAGTATATCGCCTTGCCCATTCGAAAATGCGTGCGTCGCACGCATACCTCTTTTCCATGCTCATAGTTGCACTTATAAGCCTAAGCCACGTGGCCTCTTTTCGTTATCTAGCCTCATCATATTCTGCCAAGGCTGCAAGTCCTAGGTAAGAAAGCCGGCAACGTGACCAAAGTTATTAAAGGCGTCTGTCCGGACCATTTTGATCCTTTATGGCACGGAAATGTTTATGCCGCGGTTGGTACTTAAGTACAGTCGTTCTCTCATTCACTTCCCTTGACTTAACAGGCCGGGTACAACAGCCTGCCCATCTCTCAACTCCGTCGACATTACCTCCCCCTCAGCCTCCTCGCCCCCCCAACCCCAGTGCCCAACGTCCTACGCCGAGTCTGCAGCCCCCACCCCGCTCACTCCTGTACTGCGAGAGACCTTCGACCGCACAGGATTCTTTTGTCCGTTTCGCACCTTCGGGGTGCAAGCACTGGCCCCTGCCTCCTCCCCCTCGAAGCCTCTGCTCCTGTATCTCCCAGGCCTGGATGGTTCCGGCCTCACCGCCTTTGTCCAATACCCCTCGCTGGCAGAGGCGTTTGAAGTCCGGTGCATGACCATGCCCACCACAGACAGGAGCTCTTTCTTGGACCTGATCCATCTGGTGCGGACGGAGATCCGATCTTTCCCGGGCAGACGCGTCTTCGTCATGGGAGAGTCCTTCGGCGGCCTTCTCGCCCTCGGCACAGTCTTGGAGCGTACAAAACGTCCCGATGTCAGGGACACTGCAGACATCCAGGGCGTGGTCCTGGTAAATCCGGCTACCTCCTTCTCGCGCACTATTTGGGGCAAGGTGGGTCCTCTCATCACCAAGCTCCCTCAGCCCTTCTACAGCCTCAGTCTTCTTCCCATCGGCCTTCTCCTTGTCGACGGAGGCCAAATCAAAGGCTTGATCAAGGACGCATTCGTTCGACTCCAAGAAGCCGCTCCCACCCCCTCCGGGCGCGCCCCCTCGCCC